CGTGTGCTACTTTCCCAGGCCATAAGCAGGGAGCTGGATCAGAAGTGGAGCGGCCAGGACGTGATCAGATGCCCATATGGGATGCCAGTGCCTCAGGCAGAGGATGGTTAGCCTGCTATGTAGTAGCACCAGCCTGCTCCAGATTATTAAGATGTTCCCTGGGACACCCCATCCCAAATCAGAGCGCCTGGATTTGAGTTCCAGCTCTGCTCCCTGCTCCCTCTTCCTGCAGTGCACACTCTGGGAGGTAGCAAGCGATGGCTCAGGGGCCTGCCTCCCCTGAGTGCCTCCCACCCAGGGGGACCAGGATTGACTCCTGGCTTTGACTTTGCCTGGACCCAGCTGTTGGAGGCATTAGGTTTAGGAAGCAAACCAGCCAATGGAAGACGTCTGTCTTTCTCTGCCTCTCAAACCAAGTGAAATTTCTTGAAATGCTGTATTTTGGGAAGCACAGATGAATTGGCAGAATGCCTTTCACTGCTCTTGCTTTTGACTGAGCAGTGGAGGGTTGAGTGCTGTTAGTGTGTGGGGTGCCTGGCTCAGCATCCCAGATCTGTGCCCTTCAAGGCCCAGGGCTCAGCTAAGGAGAGCACGTGGGGAGAGTCAGCTGGTGGGAGCAGTAGCCCAGAATGAGGAGAATGGGCCTCTACTCCCTGCTCTGGCTAGAAGGCCACCTTCTTTCCATGCTTTCTACACACCTAAGTGAGAATAAGACCAAGCCATTGTCACAGTCCCTGCTCCTGACCACTTCCGTTCCTGCCTCGCACCAGGAACAGATGGGGCAGCCCCACCCTGATGGGTCTCTGTTCATGGAGCCCCCACTAAGCCAAGTCCATAGCCTGCAAACATAAAGCCATTTTTGGGGAGCTTAGTGGCATCTTTGTCATTCTGATCCTAGAGGGCTGAATTGCTTGATCGCTAGAAATAGCTGTGGGTGGGTGGGGTGGGAATTTCTAGGAATCACAGCTTTCTTTTCATTCATTTTTTTCTCTCATTTGCAATCTGCTGTTCCTGTCTTCCTGTCTTCCTTTCCTGGTGCTCTAGCTAGCTACCAGCAGCAATTCCTGGATCAATAGAATTTAACGTCTGCCTGTGGGGTGGTGGGGTGGAGCAGTGCTGTGGCACAGCAGGTGCAGCTGCCACCTGCAACACAAGCCTCCTATATGGGTGCTGGTTCATGTCCTGGCTGCTCCATTTCTGATCCAGCTCCCTGATGATAGCTTGGGAAAACCACCAGAGGGTGGGTGACCCAAGTGCTTGGGCCCCTGTACCCACATGGAAGACCGGGATGAAGTTCTGGGCTCCTGGTTTTGATCAGACCCAGCCCTGGCTGTCGCACGCATTTGGGGAATAGATCAGTGTATAGAAAATTTTCTCCCCCGCCCCCCGTGCTCCTTCTCTGTCTTCCCCTCTCTGTACTGTCCTTTCCTTCTCCCTCTCTCCCTTTCTCTTTCCTTTGATCTGTGTCTCCTCTGTCATTCTGTCTTTTACATAAATAAAAGACCAATAGATATATTTTTTAAAGTAAGACATGCATGCATGGGAGGTTTTCAAGCAGAGGGGCCAGGAACCAGAGAGAGGTGTCCATCGGACCCTCTACAGCTTCTCTGCCTTCCCAGGCTGGAGGAAGGGCAGCTCTGTGTGTGGAGAGGGGAGGGTATGTGCACACACCCGTGCGTGTGTCAGGAACAACTTCTGTGTGTCTTCTCTCACATCCAGAGGCATCTGGGACCCATACACGCCTAAGCTCCTGCCTAGTGAGGGGCAACAGGAAAGGAGAGAGACCAGGGACAGGCAGGTGGAGGTTTGCAAGGCTGCCAAGGTGTGCCCACCTTTGTTATTGAGGATGTGGGTCCTGCCCCAGCCATCCCCAAGGCAGGTCCTGTTGCTCCATGGTTACAAAGCTCCTTCCTCTTTCCTGTCCCCCTTCCTGCCTCTTGGGGATCCTGCTGGCACACCACAGGATTTCTCCTTGGCTTCTTCCAAGTCCGGCAGGGCTAAGAGGGGTGTCTTGGTTTTATTGAAATCAGCCCCATATTGGGACCAGATGTTCCACCACAGATGAAGTGATGGGGATGAGGTGAAGAGACAAAGTGGGAGGACCGGAGGTCCTGTGGTGAGTGAGTGCCTCCTGGCCTTGTGAAGAGTCCCTTTCTGTCCTGGCTTCTCCCAGGGCACCCCTGCCTGCGTCTCTCCTCCCAAATCAAACATTTGGTTTGGTGTTTTGTTAACTTCCTGGGGCCTTATTGGGGCGGGGGGGGGGGGGTTGGCAGGGAGAGCGCAGGGCGGTGGAGGGAGGGAGCGCCGTGGGGAGGGCAGCAGACCTGGCTTGTTGGGCTGCTTCTTCCAGACTGTCTCCAGGGAAAGAGAGAGGAGGTGAGGACTTGGCACCTGAGTGTGAATGGTGGCTGGCCTGGCAGCCTCCTGCGAGGCCAGGTGGGCAGAGGGTATGGGCACAGGCCTAGGCTTTCCTCTCTCCTGAGTGGTTGTGGCAGGGACAGCAGTGAGAGCAGCAACCAGCGGCTGTGCCACCTGGGTCCCTCTGCTAAGAGCCTGTCCGCTCCTCTCCAGCCTGGGCTCTCTGACTTTTCTCCCTTATTATTCCCATGCCGTGTTTGAAGACAGAAACCCAGAGAGGTCTCAACTGCCCCAGGGTTTGAACCAGAGCCATCTGATTTTAGAAGCTAAGTTCAAACATACCCACTACACAGTGACTGCAGAAAATACATACACGCTCTCTGCCTCTCTGTGGTTTCCTGCAGCTCTCAGGATCACATGATCCAAGCCATAGCATAGGCAGGCCCCAGTTCCCATCCCTACTCCTATTTTATCACTGCCCTAGCCACAGCAAACTGCTCCGTCTCAGAACTTCCCACGGCCCGTTCATCCCCCAGGTCTTTGCACATGCTGCCTGGTCTCTCTGCAGCTTTCTTGGTGGGGAGAGGATCAGGCACCAGACAGTGCCCAGTACCATGCTGAGCCCAGGAAGAGCAGGCTGGAAGCACAGGTGAGATCCCTGTTACGTGCACGGGGCAGCTCTGGCACGTGTGGGAGGCGCACCTGGCCCCACTTGCTCCCTAGGTTTCTGCTGCTCCTGTAGGAACTACCCCATCCCCCTACATCCACAGCATCAGGAGGAAGGCTCTGCCAAGGACTATGGCAGGTGAATTCAATCGGGCTGATGGTGGAGTAGGAGAGGGGTTGGTTTAAAAGGCAGAGCTCTGCGGCAAGCGGTCTTCTGCTCGTGAGTGCCTTGAAGACTCGGCAGCAGGGCCCTCACCCGAGGGAACCACGAGCTGAAGGTGTCCCCATCACGGGTGCTCCTTTACAGCCCCCCAAAACAGGGAGGCACTCGGCGCTCCCGGCAGCGACTCAGTGGCTGCCAAGGCAGCAGGTCTGGATGTTCAGACCAGGCAAGTCCAGGCAGCGCCCAATTCCTGAAACCTAAACGTTAAGGAGCCCAGGTGGGCCTTGTTGGGAAAGCCAAAGCACGGCCTCAACTTGGCTCCCCGGGCTTGAGGCTGCTGTGGCAGTGGCACAAGTTTTCTTGGAAGAGCCACAGGGTGCTCCTGGAACATCAGAGGGGGGGAAGGAGAAGAAGGAAGAGAGGAAGGAGAGGGAAGAAGAGAGGGGAGAGGTGGGGAGGGAAGAAGGAAGAGAAACAGGGGGTGTTCATACCGGTGCAGAGGAAGACTCCAAGTTACTGAAGAGCACCTGGGTGACATCCACAGCCAAGGTGCCCAGGAATACAGGGACACTGGGCTCAGGCCGAGTCCAAGCACTCACAGCACCGTGTTGCTGCTGGCCAGGAACACATCTGAGCGTGTGTGTGTGACACACAATGTTTGTTTATGTTCCCAGCAGTTGGCAGTAGAAGCCAACACTTGGGAAAATGAGGCTTTATACAAAATCTACATTTGAGTCCTTTTGAAAATTAGGTGTGGCTGTGACTTCAAACGCTGATGCTGGGGGGGTTTGAGGGTACGCGGCTCGGGAGGCAGGGGCAGGCAGCCCAGCCCAGGTGAGGAAGGGGGATGGAATGGTAGTGCCTGGCTAAGCTAGCAGCTGCCATGGGAGACGGGGCCGAGGCTACGAACCCCTGTTACTTTTGACTGTGGCTGGTTCCCCAGCTCACCCCAGAAGCAGATGGGTGGCTGCCAGTTTTCAGGACACAGTGGAAGGAAGAGAGCAAGGACGGGGAGGCAGTCGGACAGCCTCTGCTAGCTGGGGCAATGTGGTTATTTGTGCTCCTTCCCGCTGCCTGGCCTGCGGACGGTGGCTGTGGCCTACTGAGGTGTGCTTCTGTCCACGGACTCCTTATGGACATGGATTGCTCTGTAGGATTCCCAGGAGCTGGAGATACATGTGTCCCATTCAGGGCAGGTCTTCAGCCTAGCTGATGAGAGAGCCTGTGTTCCATACCCAACTGCTTGGGAGGCCGTGATGACGGCTCAGGTACTCAGGTCCCTGCTGAACACATGGCAGACCCGCAACAAGTTCCTGCTCCTAGTTCTGACCCCAGGCAGCTATTGTTAGGTGCATCTGCAGAGTGAACCAGCAAAGGAGAGCTTACTTGCTCTGTCTCCCAAGGAAGCAGGCTGCTCACAGCTGCTCCTGTGCCCACCACAGCACGTCCATACTTGCCAGGCAGCCTGCTGCAGGTGCTGGGGCCCAGAAACTGTCATTTGGCCACAGCCTGAGTGGGGAGTATGTCCAGCTGCTCCCCTGGGGCTAGGCAAATTGGGGTTAGCAGGGGATGATTCTGGAGCCCAGAGGGAGGAAGTGGCTTCTGACTTGTGTGGGTGGGTGATAGACGACGGGGTCTTGTGCCTCTGATTCACCCATGTTACTCTTGTGCCTGTCACCCCTTTGGACAGACAGGGCTTTGCCCTGTCCCCACTAGGTGCAGGATGTCCCATCTCCCACTGAGGCTAATGGGCTTTCAGCTCATTCTTAGCACCCAGTGCACTGAGAACAAAAGACAGACACAAGGCAGATTCTGCTTATTGCATCTTTCTGTGTTTAATTAAATAAGTAAGCCCTTAGGCGTGGGGTTCACATTCTATTTCTCAGGCAGCCCCGGGCCGCCAGTCCTCTGAGGGGCAGCCCCAGCATTTCCAGGACATGGCAGGTTGTGGCTACAGCAAGGACATCTGGGACAATAAGGGGGAGGCGGTGGGGAGCACCAGAGGGCAGGCAGAATGAGCTGTATGCTACACCAGCACGTGTGTAGACACACATGTACATGTCACACCCATGTGTGCCATGCAAAGGGTGTCCTGTTGCTTGTAGCCACAAACCCTGGCCTTGACAAAGAAGAGTCTGCAGGACCCAGAACGGAGTAGGGGGCCAGGCAGATGGCCTGGAGTATAGAGATGAGCTGGAGATGTCAGGGGTGCCTGAAGCCAGGCCAGTGTTAGGGGCAAGGATGAGCAGTGCCTGGCTCACAGGTGGTGCCATGCCTTGGACACACAGGAATTCACACCCCAGCCCTGCCCCCCGGCGATATACAGTCAGTCACAGAACTGAAGGATCAAGAAGCTCCTACAGCACATGCAGTTGCCAATTCTGCTTCTTTTGAGGTAAAGAGTAGCTTCTGCTATTTTGGAAACTTTGGCTCACACAGGAGCCCTCTGGGACACCTTCTCCCTGCCACCTAGCCAGACCTCTCACTGGGACTCTCCGTAAATGCTCCTCTCCCCATCCCCAGAGCACCTGACCTTGCCAGACATTTCTTGGTGTTTTTGTGTAGATCATGGACACCTCATGGCTTCCGCAGGCACCTGTACCTCTTCTCCTTTCTTGGAGATGTCCTTCACCTTGGGGGTAGGGTGGGGGGAAGCTGTGCTGGGGCCGCAGCTGTCTCGGCTTCTGCTCCTGTCCTCAAACTCCAGGGGGTCTTGAGGGACAAGCCCTGTGGTCAACCACAGTGGGCCCTGGGGTGGGGAGATCACCCAGGCCTGACAAAGAATTCTAGTTTTGGGGTCAGATTATGCTCTGGTCTTCTCTACAACCCAGGCTGTCAGTCCTCTGGGGTCAGGGGGTCTCACCATCTCTGGCCAGAGCCCCCTCCATGGCTACACAGATGGTAAGGGGAGGGGCAGGTGTCCCAGGGGGCTCCCTGGGTGCCCTCTACTCCGTGGAGTTTGGTTAACAGCTGCCCCATTGCACTGGTTTGGAGGTGGGGGAGGGGGCAGGGACCACCTCCTCCCTTCTGGCTCCATTCAGAGAGCCCCGAATGCATGCCTTGGTCAGGCTTGCAGTGAAGCCAGCTGGGCTGAGCCCCAGGGGGCACATGCCAACATCCTACTGCCTGCTTAGGCTATGCCTGCCTTAGACTCCCAGGCACCTGCTGGGGCTCCCAACTCCCCACACCGTGTTTGGCACTCCAGTCATCGCTTTCAGGTGTCCTTATAGGAACAGCTTCTATTCTTCGTCTTGGTATAGTTTGGGGTCCTCACAAATCAGAAGGTATTTTTTTGTCTCTTCGCAAAATAAATAAATAAAGTCCACTTGCAGCAGACACATTGTCAATGTCCTGAGAAGTCCCAAGGGTGGCAACTGTAGAGGGATGCAGGGTCCGTGCCCACGCCCAACACCCCCATGTAGGAGAGGGCAGCAGGTGAGGGTTCAGAGAAAAGGGGTCTGCACTTTTAGGCCTGCCTAAGACATCCTGACCCCATGGCCAGTGTCTGAAATGAGACCCCTGCTTAGAGCCAGTTCCCCACCACAACTTAGCTTTTCACTGTTAGACTAAGGTTCCTCCTGCAGGGCTCCAGCACCTGGTACTGGGGGTGGGGGCCCTTCGGGCAGCGCTCCTTGCCTTTTTCAAACTGCGGCTTCTTGCCTGGACATGCCTTTCTTCCCCACAGTCAGACACACTAGACTCGGATCCCATACTTCCCCAGTGCCCCCATTACACCGAGAGCAGGCCACCCCAAGGCTGCCCAGGAAACCAGGGGCAAAGCTGGGAAGCCTGTCCTGGGAGCACCAGGCAGACTGCAGTGCCCGCTCCTAGGATGGGGGCAGCAGCAGGGTCCCCAGGCCCCTGCCCCGCTGTGAGGCTGATCTTGTCTGGCTTTCTCAGGAAGGAGGGCAGAGGGGCCCTGGAGGTATGCTGCTTCTAGACAGGCAGCCAGAGCACCAGGGGCCCTGGACTCGGAGAGAAAGGGCTGCTGGGGCCATGGCTCGGATCCTGGGGTGAAGCCCCCCCTCCACCTCCTCCCTCCTCTGTGCTGCTTTTCCCAGCCTCCACCAGGCCCTGGCTGGGCTGCAGAAACAAACCCAAGACCCAGCCACAGAATACAAGGGCCAGCAAGCCATAAATAACTTCAAACATCCACATAAAACACGTCGCGGCCCATTCTAAGTTGAGCAATGTGCGTCTCAGAGCCTTAAAAGAAATTTCCTCTGGGCACTAACAATGTTTGCGGTGACCTGTGGCTGAACTCTGACCCAGAGTGGAAGGCAGACTGATGTGACTACCCGCCAGCCCCCTCTGCCACCTCACCCTCTCAACTTTCTTTTTGGCTCTGTACCACAGGAGGCTTGGCTGGAAGGGATGGGACTTGCAGGCTGCCTGGCCTCTTGCCTCCAGGGACCAAAGATGCTTCTGGTCGGGGCCCAGGCAGCTTCCAAATACGGACATGCTCTTTGGAAGCTAGTGAGCTGGATGGGCCGTGGAGCTGAGCTACAGGAGTATGGGGCACATCCTCTCGAGACATCCTGCCTGCCAGCTGCAAGGATGTAAAGGCCCAGAGGGGCTGGCGGGTTTGGCAGCTTTGCATCCACCACTCAGCCCCAGGTCTGGGTAGGTGGTCACGTCAGGCCTTGTGGCCCTGAGCAAGTCTTCTCCCCTCCCCACTCCCACCCATGCCAAGTGATCCCAAAGTAATTAGGGTGTGGGCAAACTGGCGTGACAGTTCATGTGAACACCTGTACCCTTACACCATTACATTTTTGTACGCATGTCTACACAGCCACTTGTGTGTTCTGGGCCAGGTCGACATTCCCCCCCACACAGCACAGTCCCCCACCTCCCAAGCTCCCAGTATTTGTGCACTGGCTGGGAAAGAGCCTGCCAAGACCCCAGACTTCTCTACACCCAGTGCAGAAATGCCAAGGTGAACCCTGAGTGGCACAGGAGGGCTGGCTGTGAGCGCTCACTGCCCAGGCCACCTTCTGCTCCTTCAGTGGCTGGACTCTAAACTGCAGCCCAGGCAGTAACTGACAGGAATCTCAAGTCTGTTCCTATGTGAGAGGGAGGGAGGGAGGCTGACGCTAGGCCTGTTCAGGGGGTGGTCCCTCTAGGGGACCACACGCTGTCCCCTGGCTTCCGCAGGGCTGCAGCGGCAGTGGGGAAGCTAGCTTGACTGCGGGGGGCCACTGCTACAGCAAGGGGCTGCCAGCTCCCACACCTGGAGCCAGAGCTGCGGCTCACCCCCGGTCTGTATGGGCAGAAAGGCAAGGCGGGCCTTACCACCAGGAGGCGTCCTTGGCGCCCCAGGTGCCGCCCTTCCCTACGTGACCCAGAAGGTTCCCCGGTCCTCCAGCAGGCTAATGGAGCGGTTGGCGAGGGCGGCGGCGTCAGGGGCCAGCTTGTAGCCGAAGAGGCGCATGGCAGGTTCGCAGGCGGTTTGCACCACCTGCGCCAGCTTGAAGGGCATGCTGAAGCGCCACTTGTTGAACTGCTCCGAGGAGTTTCTCTGCGTGGAGTAGATGCCGCTGCCGTGCGCCACCTGTGTGTTCTTCTGGATCCAGTCCTCCACCTGTGGCGTCAGGGGGATGCCGGCGAAGCGGTACATCTCACGCGCTTTCTGCAGCGGGCTACGCGCCACATCCTCGTAGCGCACGAGCATATAACGGCCACGCAGCCACGCAGGCTGCTGCAGGCCCAGCTCTGCCGACAGGCGGATGCTCTCACAGTTGCCCCGCAGCCGCTGCACCTCTTCCTCGTGCAGCTGGTCCTGGCCCGCTGCCAACCACTTATTCCAAGTCTCATACTTGCCTGCGAAGGCCACCATGCGCGAGGCCATCACAGCCCGTGGGTCGCGCACCAGCTGGATGACGCGCAGGTCCAGCCTGGGATCTTCTGCTAGCGGCTGCAGGAACTCGAGCTGGCGGATGCGCACGGCCTTGAGGGCCATGTGCTGCTTGCGGCGGCAGGCCTCGGCGGCCAGGGTCACGTTAAGCGGGCCGCAGCGGCGGTTCTTGCAGTGGTACTTCTCAAAGGCCTTCTTGACCAAGGGCGTGCACACAGGTTCCTCGCACAGCGAGCGGCTGGAGCCGCGGCGGAACATGGAGTCAGTCATGTGGTCCTCTGGCAGAGGCGTGATGAAGGGCTCCAGCACGTAGAGGTCGCACAGGAACAGCTGCTGGAGCACGTCGCGGTACACGAGTGCTGAGCCCGCCGCGTTGGCACCTCCAGGCTCGAAGGCCACCGTGCGCTCGATGTGCCACAGTGGCTCGAAGAGGTAGAAGATATTGCCCTGCTGGTTGAAGAACTCGCCCACGAACGACGAGCCCGTGCGCGTGGTGGCCATGAGCAGCACGTGGCGCCGTGGCCCCGCCCCGGCCGGCGAGAGTGGCACCTGGTCAGTGTGCGCCTCGGCCTCCCCGGGCTGCTCCACGCCCAGTTGCAGGCTGAGGTTATGCAGGCGGCTCCGCAGCTGCGAGAAGGCAGAATCGAGCTCGCTCAAAGACACGAGGGACGCGTTTTCCGCCAAGAGCAGCTCCGGGTCGGTGCTGTTGGCCTCTGCCAGGGCCTGCGGGATCTGCCTCAGCTTGTCCGAGACCCTGTTGAGGGGGCAGAGGGAGAGGGTGAGTGACTAGGCAAGGCCAAGCCATCTTGCAAGCGGTTCCCCCATGCCTGTCTGGGAGAGGTGGGCTCGGAGGTGAGGATGTGTGTGGAAAGGGTTCATGGGGAGCTGGGTGGACAGCTGTGGGCCCCTGGGGTGGGTGGAGTGGCACAGAGCCCCACAGGTGGGCCTTGGCCACAGTCACCCCGCCCCGCCCCTCACCTGGATATGATCTTATTCTCCTTCTCGATGAAGACGAACACCACCACCACAAATGCGAGAAACAAGGCATATCTGCTTCTCATCCTCAGGCTGTGCACGAAGTCCCGGCGCTCCTGGGGCAAGGCCAGGGCCGTCTCCATGAGCTCCCGGTAAGCCACAGCTGCTCAGCTCTGGGACTTCAGGTGGGGGACACCCTCATCCTGGGGGCAGGGCAGGAGAGAGGAATGGGCAGTCAGGACACCTCCACAGGACCCGCCAAGGGCCCCGTCCTGTGTCTCCAAACAGACCAGGCCCCAAAGCCACTGCAGGTCTTCCCCTTCCCCCATCGGTTTCTCTCCTGCCCTCCAGATGACAGGCATCCATGTATGCCCAGGCAAGAAGGTTCCTCCCAGTGACAAAACACCTGGTGGCAAGAAATTGAATACCTAAAGAAAAATCCGTGGTTGCTACATAGCAAGGGAGGGGGATTGGGCAGCTGGCACCTGTATCCATGCTTCAAGTCCCAGCTCCGCTTCCTGTTTGTGTATACCCGAGAGGCAGCAGGGGATGGTCCAAGTACTTAGCTCCCTGCCACCCATCCTGGTGACCTGGATTGAGTTTCCAGCTCCTGGTCCTGTGGTCATCTGGGGAGGGAACCAGTGGATGGCAGGTCTGTTGGGGCTGCTGCCTGGCAGGCCACTGGCATGGGCAGGACGAGTGACAGGCCATGTTTAAGCCTGCTGTCCCACCAATGGGGTCTAACCCAACATCCTGTCTTTGTCGCACAAGGTGCTGCACCCTGACTTCTCTCCTCCCACCTCCATTCCTGGGCGCTCGGATGCTGGAGATGCAGGAGATGGGACTGCAAGTTGCAGGTTCTGGCCCTTGCTGTGTCTCTTACCATGCAATGCAAACTTGTACAAGAGACTTCACCTCTCTGGGCTTGCTGCTTCCCCTATAGCATGGAAGGTCCCTCCCACATAAGGTTGCTAAGAGGAAATTACCTGATGTGTGGAGTTCAGTGTTCATTAACTGGGAGAGGAGAGCAGAAACCAGGGTGTGTGTGTGGGGTGGGAGCACAGCACCCTCCTTTGTGGGAGGGTCTAATGCCTTTGCTGAGTGGTGTTGCCTGGGCCACAAGTTCCTCCACCCTTCCCAAAATACCACCCACTATTTCTGCATTGCCGTGGCAGCCTCCCCACGATCAGAACCACACGGGGCTCCAGAGACTATGCCTAGCACTACCTTAAAAGGAAGCAGCCAGGCGCCAAGGCCCGGGGCCACCCCTCTGTTCAGCTCTGGAAGCCCCATGGATAACCCTCCCACCCCAAGTCAGAGAAAGGCTTAGAGGCTCTGCAGAAGATGGGGGAGGTGTCTGGGCCAGGGGAGGGTCATAGTGTTCGGGGTCAGAGGGTTGCAAAGGAGGGTCACAGGATCTGGATGAGGGTCGGCAGGAGGCCTCCCCTGCCCCCTACAGGACCTGACAAGGCCCCGTGCCCCCTCTGTCTCATGCCTTCCGGTGAAAGGGGCTGCTCCCACTTCCCCGGCCTGGCTCACCGAAGGAACCAAAAAGCCCTCCCCGTCCTCCTGCTCCCAGCTGCTGTGCCTCACCTTTCACCTCCCCCCACGCCCCACGCTCCAGCAACCACTCAGCAAAGCAGGAGGTGATGTTGCCACACATTGCACCCCCCACCCTGGCATTTTTTCCTGTCCTTGGTAGGCACGGGTCCACTTTTCCCCTTCCCGCCCCCCTCCCAGGCAGCACCAGGGAGCCCCTGGCCACAGCAGGCGTGGGGTCAATTCCTGCAGCTCGCACACCCCAAGGCATCACTCAGAGCAGAGCTCAGGCTACCCGGGCCCTCTGGACACAGACCCTGCTCCCTACTCCCCCACCCCTCCTCCAAACCCCATCCCATCCTACCCCTCCCTCCCCCAGCCATACCCCTTCAGCCCCACTTGGGGGCTCTGTGTGAGCTGGGTCCTTAGCCCAAGGCCCTTCTAGACCTTCTGTGGGCATTCAGGATTCAGCTTGGATGTCCCCTCCTCAGGCTTCCCCCAGACTCCAGTGTCCGTCCCCTTCCCTCTCAGCACCCCTGCATGTCCTCCTGGGTGAACCATGCCTTCTTCACGCACTGCAGTGGCAGCTCCATGCAAGGAGCTCCACCTTTGATCAAGACCACAACTGGACAGAGCAGGGGTTCCAGGAAACCTCGGGTGAATGACTGGCTAGGTACTGATTCCCGCTTAGTGGCCGCACATTAGGAAGCAGCGGCTGCTCTGTCTACAGGTGAGTCACCTGTGTGTTCATGCTGCAAGTATGCGCTGGGAACTGGCGCTAGGGACACAGGCATCACTGGGGACACGCCATGCAAGCACACCCCCGCTCCAGGGACCTCCCATACTGTGACTGCAAGTCTCCTAGCAATCCCAGCCGTCTTCCAGGACTAAGCCTCTCACAGCTGTGAGCAGACCTGGCAAGGGGCCTCACCAGAGAACCAGTTTACACTCTGATGGCCCCCAGCCAGGCCCCAAATGGACAGCAGCCCAGCCCTGCCTCCGCCTGGGGGGAGGTGGGGTCCAGCCAGCCCAGCCACGAACGGTGCTCTGATAAGGGAGGCTAGGGCCTTGCCAGACATTGCATCAGGCTGCAAAACTCCGTTCCCCTCATTTGTTGGGGCTGGGGCCTCAGTCAGCTGCTACAGGCCCCGCACACAGGCTATGCCAGGGCAGGAGGAGGGAGAGTGACAGCTGGTATGTGTGTGTGTGTGGGGGGGAGGGTGCTCTGTGGGAAGAAATGTGAGTATAACCCTGTACCCACTGCAGGACACGCAAGGAGCTCAGAGTCACCCATTGGAGGTCACCTGCCTCTGAGTCCCCAGGGAAGGGGACATGGAATGGGCAAGGAAGCCCCTAGGTCCCTGGCAGATAAGTTATGGTCTGGGGAAGCAGCAGCTAGGAGGGCAGCCTATCCAGGCTGGGGACATCTAGACATGGTGTGGGGAAGGTCGAGGATGCCCGGATCTGGAGCTTAGTGTGTGTGAGCCAATGAGCCACGGGAGAAGCGAAGCCATGGATGGGGTAGCAGAGGCGGCTGCAGCCGGGGTTCACACAGACAGCAAGGTAGCCATGCAGGATGAGTGCACAGGTCAGACGGAGCCGGCGATCTGGGAAAGGGCTGCACCCCGCCATCTGCATCCAGACTAGGGCTTTTATGGGCATGAGGAAGGGTCCCCTGCCTTTCTTCCCGCTCCTCCCTCCACTGGGAAGTTTCAGGTTGGAGTGTTCAGGATGTAGAATTCCCAGAAATCCTAGGAGGGTCTTATCTGTGGTTGTGGGGCCTGAACACCTCCTTGGCACAGGGCCGGGGCCTGCTGCACCACAGCAGTTGCTTTCAGAGCCTGCTTCTGATTTTCTCTAGAAATTCTATTTTGGGGCTGATTTTCTCTAGAAATTTCTATTTTGGAGCTCGGCACAACGGCTCAATGGTTAAATCCTCTCCCTGTAAGCACCAGGATCCCATATGGGTACCATTTCATGTCTCAGCTGCTCTGCTTCCGATCCAGCTTCCTGCTTGTGGCCTGAGAAAGCAATAGAGGATGGTCCAAAGCCTTGGGACCCTGCACATGTGTGGAAGACCCACAAGAAGCTTCTGGCTTCTGATTGGCTCAGCTCTGGCCATTGTAGTCATTTGGGGAGTGAACCAGCAGACAAAAGATCTTTCTGACTCTTCTTTCTGTAAATTTGATCTTTCCAATAAAAATAAATCTTAAAAAAAAAAAAAAAGAAAAGGATGGCCTAACGTGGTAGCCTAGTGGCTAAATCCTTTGCATGTTACCAGGATCCCATATGGGTGCTGGTTTGTGTCCCTGCTGCTCCACTTCCCTTCCAGCTCCCTGCTTGTGGCCTGGGAGAGCAGTCGAGGACGGCCCAAGGCCATGGGACCCTATGCCTGTGTGGAAGACCCGGAGTAGGCTGCTGGCTTTGGATCAGCTCAGCTCCATTCCAGACACTTGGGGAGTGAACCAGCAGGCAGATGATTTTTCTGTCTCCTCTGTGTAAATCTGACTTTCCAATAAAAATAAATAAATTAATCTAAAAAAAAACCCCTGTTTTCTTCAGCCCTCTCTTTTACACCTAGCTCATGTCTACTTAGCTACCTTATGGGGCTGGGGGGCAAGGCTACATACCCTTTCTCTCCTGAGCGACTTTCTCTCCTGAGCTTGGGCCCACCTAGCCTCAGCTCCCACAGCGCACAGGCATCCAAGCTGGTGGGGTTGGGGGGCGGGTTGCGGTCAACCAGCACCCCGGACATCCATTTATTTGCAGAGGGTCAGAGAGGCAGGACTAGGAATGCCACCGACCCCGCACTGGCCAGGACGCAGGCCCGTGTGAGGACACAGCACACTCTTCCTCCATCCCCCCAGGCCTGGGGTCAGAGGAGAGCGGACCTTCCCCCACCCCATCACAGCGCTTGCCCAGTTACTGGTTGCAGCAGGGATGGGGGCTGCCCAGGAGCACCCACCAGGCTGGCTCACTCAAAACTGACCTGAACATGACCCAGGAAGTGCACCCAGCCCTGGAAATTCCATGTGTGGCAAGTTCTCAAATGTCTTACCAGGAGCATGGACAGGTGAGCAGGTGGGAACTACATGACTAATACAGAGCTCAGCAAATAGACCAGCACGTGGGGACTCAGCGGACATCCTTGCCCACTGCTTGTCCTTGGCTGCAGCACTTCAGCACTCTTCCAAATCTCATCGGAGGTTTCAAAAGGGGGAAGCGCGCCCATCTGGGAAATGGTGCGAGCAGGGCACCAAACAGGGCAGGACCCAGGCTGGATCCAGCAGAGGAGGTGGCAGAGCAAGGAGGAGGCAGAGGAGTCAAGAGAGAGGGCAGAGTGTGTGAGGTGTTCTCAAGCCCGGCACCGCCTCCGAAACACCCACCGCGGGCGTCACGCTGGGAGCACAGACCGGTCACAGAAGCACAAGCTCCGTTATGAGTCAGCCCATGCATGCCGTGAGCAGTCACGGGCACAGAAGGCAGAGTGGGCGTGCGGGCGCTGAGGGAGTAGTTGCTTCAAGGGGGTAGGGAGGGGTTGTGTAAGGTGAGGTGGCAATAATCAGCAACATAGCCTGGGGGTTACAATATGCCCTGCACCCCCTCCTGGGGCAGACAGGGCGCAAAGACCGTCTACTTAGCTGGGATGGAACACACCGCCTGC